GTGTGGAGGTGCAGGGGAGAAGGCTGGGTGTTGGCAACTCAAGGTCAGGGCAGAGGGCTGGGGGGGGTGGGGGATGTGGGGGGTGCAGGGCAGAGGGATGGGTGTGTGTTGGGGTGGGGAGGTGCAGGGCAGAAGGCTGGGGTGCTTGGCTTGTGGGGGTGCTCCTAGCCCCCTGCACTGAGCGGCTCATGGCAGGGGGCTGGGAGGGATATGACCTGTTCCACCCCCTTCCCCCAGGCCCGTCCCTACCTCTCTCTCGCTGCTCTACGGAGCAGCGACCACGCTGCGCTCGGCTCTGCTCCTCTGGGAGGAGGAGGGGCCGGAATGCACCACATTGTGGGAAGAAACGGGGAGGGGGAAGGGGAGCGTGGCTGCCGCAGTACCAAGTTTCTGGCTCCTGCCCCCGCAGGGGAGAGCAGTGGGCAGGGGGGGCTGGGACCCTCTCCCCACCGCTCTCCCCTGCGGGGGCAGGAGGCAGAAGCTTGATCCTGCGGCAGCCAAGCTTCCCCCTCCCCCTTCTTCCCACAGTGTGGTGCATTCCGGCCCCTCCGCCCCTCCTCCTCCTCTCAGTGGGCAGCAGCGTGCCACTCAGAATCGGCTTGCATGTCATGTTTGGCACGTGTGCCGTAGGTTGCCGACCCCTGACTTAGATTCACCAAACCAGCACAAACAGCTTCTTTATTACTTTACTTGTTACTCAGAAGTCCAGACAACACAGTTCCCTTAAAGTGATCCAGCCTCAGGCTCCCATCCAGGTACCCACATCAAATATGGTGAAAATTTCTGTAAATCTTATTTCATCATATAAAATAACAGGTTCTACCAATCCCAAAGGATCGGACACATTACCTCCCAGGTTAATGAATGTTTCAGATCTTATCCAAATACACACTACAGCCAATTCTTATTAACTAAACTAAAATTTATTAAAAAACGAGAGAGAGAGTATGGTTAAAAGATCAATATACATAGACATGAGTTCAATCTATTGAGGTTCAGATTCATAGCCGAGATGGTGAGCTTCATAGTTGCAAAGAGTTCCTTTAGAATTCAGTTAATCGGTTATAGTCCAATGTCCAAATCTCATATTCAGGCGTACCAGCATAACTGGGACCTCAGTCTTCCGACTCAAACTTCCTGAGACTCCAAATCACTGCTGCTATTTGATCCTTCAGCTTCTAATAGTCTCTGATCCAGTAGTTTAGGTATTTTTTTTCTTCTTCTGTCCTCTGAGCCTTTTCTGTGACCTGGTCTTATTCTCACCCTTTCGTGGTCTAATTGTTGCAATACATTCTTGTTTCCAGTGCTTCCTCTGTGGCTCTCCAACAGTTGAGTATCTCATGTCAAAGCTTCTCCTGAAGCTTTCTTTTATTATTTATCTGCTTGACAAGTGTGATCTCAGTTTCTCCACGGAGTTGTCCAAAAATGTCCCCTCTCTGTGCTATGGAATTGTGGGTTAGCACACACTTACTGATGTATTTTCCCCCAACTCCAGGTTTTGTCTGACTCTTTCAAGCTATTCCTAAACTTTCAGAGTAGATGTGGATAGTTCTAGGTTCAAGTATTACTTTTTTCTTTGTGTATTCAGCATCAGACAAGATAGCTCCGAGTCCTGTCAATACAACTTGAGAACATTCTGCTTGTGGTACTTCAACATCCTTAGATTTACCAGTTGCCCTTTGTTTAATCCTTCTTTGTGCATGTCTGAATGTCAAGAGCTCTAAGCACCACTTTCCTCTTGTTAATATTGGACTACATTGCATCACACTTTTTTTATTTTTGTAGGGTCCTTACAATATATCTGGTAGGGGCTTCTAGATGCTACTGCAATATAAATAATACCTGTGGGTAAATGAAGCCAAATCCTTTTATGGGGGAAATAAAATAAAAAAAAGTTTACTTTGAATTATTATGGCTTCAGTCAGGATTTGTAGAATAAATTGCTTAAAAATTCTGTGGTGTCAGTACAGTTGAAAGCCAGTGTTATTCTTATGCATCTTCATGGGTTCATAACCTAATAAGAATGCACATCTTAAAAGCACTATTGTTCTAAAGTAGACCTCTTTGGAAGAGAAAGTTGTCATAACACTTTTTTTTTAAAGGGTTCTTAATGAAGCTTTACTTTTAAGGCAGCTCATTAGTTTTCTGTAAGTGAGCTTTAGGGAGATAGAGGTTCTGACTACTGTGCATAGCCATAAAAAATTCCATCTTCCTTTTCTGAGGTATTTGCTCCAGTATCCCTGACCAGAATTTGCTTTCAGTGTCTTTTCCTTCCCAAAATAGTGCAGGGTATGGCTGCCCATCAGTAGGGGTGTATACCTTTTGTGAAGCACTTTGGGATCCTTCACAATGAAAAGTGCTATATTAATGTGAAATATTCATCTGTCAGCTTTGAGCAGTCTGTAATCTTTACTAGCAAGTGCCACTTAAACCTCTTTGTATTCAGTTCTCACAGTATCTTCATGAGAATGCATCCTATGTTCGTCCTCTGGAGGAAGGAATGCTTCACTTGTTTGAGAGTATTACAGAAGATACAGTGACTGTGCTGGTAATATTTTTGATCTTATTTTTTCCTGATGAAAAATAAATCTTTACTGTGCAAATAGCTCTTAAATCTGGTTATCTTTTCCTTAGGAAACAACTGTGAAATTGAAGGTCTTTTCTGAACATTTAACTTCCTACACATGTTTTCTCAGGAAGATTCTTCCTTATCAGTTAAAAAGGTATTTTCCTCTTGAAATCTGTTGAGTTCTAGCTTGTATTACCAACCCCAACTCCTCAAAAGTCATCAGCCCACCCCCAAAACACCATTCGATTGGCTTAAAAAACACGAGATTTAAAAAAAAATATTTTAGGGTTTTCTGGCTTTCTGGCTTTTGAGGCAGTAGGAAGCATTTGGGACACACTTGCCAGGTTTTGCCTGCAACCATGAGGCCTAGAGACTTACATTTGAAAAAAGAAAGCTGAAGTTCTCATGGTTGCAGTCGCTATGAGTTTGAGAAAAATAACAAATATTGTGAATCTTGTGATAAATCCATGAGATTTGACAACTGTGGAATCACTTTAAGTGAGGTTGTTTACTGAAATCATTGATTTCCTGGGTCTGCCCCAGGCTTGGATATTTGTCATGGAATACGTATGGCATCTTCGAATTTGCACCTGTAAAACAAAGCCACATGCCTGTCCCCTTTGCAGGTTGTCTTCTTTCTCTCCTTATTCCTGTGCAGATCTTATTTCCTGCCCCATTGGGTGGGTTGGAAGGGAGGTGGATTGTGCCTTCAAAATAATACTCAAAATTGGGGTATGGGCTAGGAGGTGTGGAAGGAGAGAAAGGTCTTGTCCTACCCCCATCCCCTCCCCTGTCTCTATTTTGTTTGTACATTGCCTAGCTCAATGGGGTCCTGTTCCATGCCTGAGCTTACTAGATGCTAAGATACTACAAATAATAAATAAGTCATTAACAGGAAAGAAAATGAAGCACCAGTATGGTTGGTACTGGAAGTGGAAAAACATCTTTTTTTCCATTATTCATAGGTTATGAATAATCTAAAATTATCTAAAGTACTCCTAGTTGATCCATATGCTGCGGAAAATCAACACTGCCCTTGTAAAGTGAAATCATGCCTCATCAATCTATCAGGATTCTTTGAGGGTGTCAACAAGAATGTGGACAGGAATGATCCAGTTGATATGGTGTACTTGGACTTTCAGAAAGCTTTGATAAGGTCCCATACCAAAGGCTCTTGAACAAAGTACGCAGTCATGAGATAAGAGGAAAGGTCCTCTCAATGATCAGTGACTGTTAAAACATAAGAAACAAGGGGTAGAAATAAATGGTCAGTTTTCGCAATGGAGAGAGATAAATAGCGGGTCTCCCCAAGGATCTGTACTGGGACCTGTGATATTCAACATATTCATAAAGATACCTGGATAAAGGGGTAAACAGAGAGGTGGCAAAATTTGAAGATGATAGTTAAGTCCAAAGCTAACTGTGAAGAGTTACAAAGGGATTTGACAAACTGGCAGATGAAATTCAGTGTTGATAAATGCAAAGTAATGCACGTTGGAAAACATTAATCCCAATGATGCATACAAAATAAGTGGTAACAACAAGTTTAGACCCCATCAAGAAAGATCTTGGAGTCATCGTGGAGACATCTGCTCAATATGCAGCAGCAATCAACCCCCCTTGCACCCTCCCCCCCCAAAAAAACTAACAATGTTAGGAACCATTAGGAACGCTATCAATAATAAGAAAATATAATGACACTATATAAATCCCTGTTTGCCCATGCCTTGAATACTGCATACAGTTCTGGTCAACCCATCACAAAAAGATATATTAGAATTGGAGAAGATTTAGAGAAGGGGAACAAAAATGATTAGGGTATGGAACAGATTCCATATGAAGAGAGGTTTAAAAAGACTTGGAATGGTTAGTTTAGAAAAGAAACAACTAAGAAGGGAATATGATGGAAGCTTTTATAAAATCATGAATGGTGTGGAGAAAGTGAACAGGCAAGTGTTGTTTACCTCTTTATGTAACACAAGAACTAGGAGGGTCACCCAATGAAATTAATAGGCAGCAGGGTTAAAACAAACACAAGGAAGTACTTCTTCACACAACACAGTCAACTGTGGAACTCGTTGCCAGAGAATGTTGTGAAGGCCAAAAGTATTAACTGGATTCAAAAAAAGAATTGGATAAGTTCGTGGAGGATAGATCCATCAATGTTTGGCCTTGGCTACACTTGCAAGTTACAGCGCTGTAAAGCCTCCCCTAGCGCTGTAACTCACTCCCCATCCACACTGGCAGGGCACTTACAGCGCTGTATCTCCCTGGGTACACCGCTGCAGGTACTTCACATCTCCGAGAGGAATAACAGCTGCAGCGGAGTGGCTACGACTCACGGGTGTGAGTGTAAAGGCTTGCAGCGCTGTACTAATCACCTTGTCAAGTGGCCAATCCTCTCCATTGTTGTGACCGGCTGCAGGAATGCGGAAGTGCCGGTTTCAAAGCTCGTACCACAGAGAAAAGCAAACAGTTTGCAGCTTGCTTTGAGTGAGTAAATGAATGAGCAGGGGGCTGGGAGTTCGGAACTTGCAAAATAGAGAGCTGACGTGCTCCAAAAAGCACTCTCGCTCCCGCCACACTCCCTGTCACAATCCACCCCACCTCCCCGTTTTGAAAAGTACGTTGCAGCCACATGAATGCTGGGATAGCTGCCCATAATGCACCGCTCCCAACACAGCTGCAAATGTGGCAAGTGTGGCCACACCACTGCGCTGGCAGCTGTCAGTGTGGACAGACTGCAGCGCTTTTCCCTACTCAGCTGTACGAAGACAGGTTTACCTCAGAGCGCTGTACAGCTGCAAGTGTAGCCAAGGCCTTTGTTAGCCAAGGTGGTCAGGGATGCAATCCCAGGCTCTGGGTGTCCCTAAACCTCTGACTGCCAGAAGCTGGGACTGGATGAGAGGGGATGGATCACTTAAGTGCCCTATTCAGAGGAAATGAACAGAAGCACATGGCATTGGCCACTGTTGGAAGACAGGGTACTAGGCTGGATGGACCATTGATCTGACCCACTATGGCCCTTCTTATGTTCTTATAAAGAAATAAAATTCTCAGCCCCTTTCTTTCTTGTTACTTCTCTGACTCAGAATTTAAACAGCAGCAGAGACGTTTATCCTGTTGATTATGAAAATTTTGCATTTGTTTGGCGAGATATTCACTTTAAAAAATAAATTCATATATTCCTAGTTTGGAAGAAGAGTGTGAATCTTCTCTTTGCACAGCTGCTTTAAGAGCCAGGAATCTGGAGCTCCACAATGATATGAAGAAGATTACTGCAGTCTTTGAGAAGTTACACGTATACGTTAGTCTTATTGTCTTACCAAGTAAGTGTCCATTATGGCTCCAATCTGTTCGAATATGAAGGATGCTAATGCTTCCTGGTTTTGAACCAACCATATGCAAATATGAAACAAAAAAATAGGTCTTCACGGGAGATAATAATGCACTCGCTAAGCTATAGGGGTTACATGTTAAATGCTGTTTTGTAGAAAAAAGATGAAATGGGCCATTAACTTTTGTAGTATAATCACTTGTTCCTTTATATCTTATACTGGCTTAAAAAGCCTACAGGAGAGCATTCGATCTTCAATTATTAGGTCAGAACCTTCTAGCACTTCCTCATCACCACCAAAACAGCCAGCTTCCCCCCGCCCCTCACACAAACAAAATACAACCCAAACAAATGTATAAGGTATCTTTCTAACTATAGTAGTATGTAAGTGAAACACAAAAAAAATCACGTAAACATCAGTTTAATGCTGTAAAATAAACATTGAAATATATAGTGGCAAAGTAAAAGAAGCAGCAAATGAGGTGTAACTGATCACTGGATTGACCCTAATTGACCCTTTATAGAGGGGAAAAAAGGGCTCCTGGTAAAAATAACCATTATCTTGGATAGTAAAAGATATTGCAATAACTGTGTAGATTTCATACTACATAGTGAATTGATTTTCCAAACCAAAATACTCTGGTGTAATTGCAATGTCTGAGCAAAATCTAAAGTTTAGAAGACTGACTTGCTTATGTTAGCAAAATTCAATTTTTTTTAAAAAAAAGATTTCATTAATAATTATGGGTCAAGTTCAGTTAACAAGTCTTGCTTCCTCAGTGCTAAAGATATAACCTGCAAATATTTCCACCATTCGGAAACCAGATAACTTTCAGGGTTTGATATATTTTTTAAATTGATCATTGAATATAGACTTGTCAACTTTCTTGCATGGTTTTTAGGTATAAAACCAGAAGGGCTGCTTCGGACAAATTACAGTTCAGTATTCATACACATTGCTGCAGGTCTTCATGGATTTCATAATGTTATGAAAGGTGAGAATAAACGAGGGGTAAGCAATTTAAAATGGGCTATATCTTAATTATTGAATGCCTGGTTTTGAAAGTTAGGCTAAGTATATCTACATCCAGTAATTTAGCTTGTAAAGGTTTATGTTAAAGGTTGAAAGACGTAAAATTAGACCACCGAACATAATTTTAGTTTGCAGGTTTGTGTATGCGTATTGTGGTGCCTCCACTGTTCTGGCTGTCGCATTCATTCTTGTGAGTAGGCTGGGTATTAAAATAGACAATAATACTGCTCTGGGTGCTTCAGAGAGCAGGATTCTTCTGGTTTCAGTGCTCTGCTCACTCTAATGAAACTGACATGTAGAGTGGAAGGACAATGAAATGTACATTCTATAATCATAGGACTGGAAAGGACCCTGAGAGGTCATCTAGTCCCCTGCATTCATGCCAGGACTTATCTAGACCATCCCTGACAGGTGTTTGTCTAACCTGCTCTTAAAAATCTCCAATGATGGAGATTCCACAACCTCCCTAGGCAATGTATTCCAGTGCTTAACCACCCTGACAGGAAGTTTTCCTAATGTCCAACTTAAACCTCCCCTGCTGCAATTTAAGCCCATTGCTTCTTGTCCTATCCTCAGAGGTTAAGAACAATTCTTCTCCCTCCTCCTTGTAACAACGTTTTATGTACTTGAACCTGTTATCATGTCCTTTCTTAGTCTTCTCTGTTCCAGACTAAAGAAACCCATTTTTTTCAGTCTTCCCTCATAGGTCATGTTTTCTAGATCTTTAATCACTTTTGTTGCTCTTCTACTACCTCCCAGCAGGGCCGGCTCCAGGCACCAGCTTCTCAAGCAGGTGCTTGGGGCGGCAGCTCCGGAGAGGGGCGGCAGGTCCAGGTATTCGGCGGCAATTCGGCGGACAGTCCCTCACTCCGCCTGGGAGTGGAGGACCTCACGCCGAATTGCCGCCGCAGATCACGATCGCGGCTTTTTTTTGTTTTGTTTTGGCTGTTTGGGGCGGCCAAAACCCTGGAGCTGGCCCTGCTTCCCAGAATGATGTTCGTTTTTTTTGCAACAGTGTTACACTGTTGACTCATATTTAGTTTGTGGTCTGCTATGACCCCCAGATCCCTTTCCGCAGTACTCCTTCCTAGGCAATCATTTCCCATTTTGTATGTGTGCAATTGATTGATTGTTCCTTCCTAAATGGAGTACTTTGCATTTGTCATTATTGAATTTCATCCTATTTACTTCAGACCATTTCTCCAGTTTGTCCAGATCATTTTGAATTTTAATCCTATCCTCCAAAGCCCTTGCAACCCCTCCCAGCTTGGTATCGTCCACAAACTTTATAAGTGTACTCTCTATGCCATTATCTAAATCATTGATGAAGATATTGAACAGAACCGGACCCACAACTGATCCCTGTGGGACCCCACTCATTATGCCCATCCAGCATGACACTGAACCACTGATAACTACTCTCTGTGAACAGTTTTCCACCCAGTTTTGCATCCACCTTATAGTAACTCCATCTAGGTTGCATTTCCCTAGTTTGTTTATGAGAGAGTCATGCGCGACCGTATGAAAAGCTTTACTAAAGTCAAGATATGCCACGTCTACAGCTTCCCCCGCCCCCATCTACCCGCCTATGAAATGTATGTGCATGACCACCGTCATAAACATCACAGCTGTTGGAGAGTCTCCACCATCTGATACTGGAATTTTCCTAACAGTTTTCTCCATGGAGGGGATGGGGCTGAGGATTTTCTCTGAACTAGAATATGTATACTAAATGAGAAACTTGAGAGCTGCTCAGCTCTGCTGACTTTTTCACAGAAGGTATAATTTAATGATGTATAGAAGACATCGCTATATTGTGCAAACAAACTGTATTGTATTTGACTTTTTTTATTAGTGCTAGTTGGTTACTAATTTTGGCAGGAGGATTAATTCAAATTATTTTAAAATGCCTTTACAAAATGCTAAATGTTGTTAGAACTCTTTCTAGAACCAAGACTATTGAGATTTTTGGCCCTAAAGGAAAGAAGGGTAAATTTAGTTGACTTATTTTTATACTGTAACTTCAGTCAGCTGCATAAATATTAACATTCTGTAATTGTCAATGAGATATTTCCATTGTTCAGTCTGTTAGCAATATTACTGCAGTTTATTACTACATACTACGGTTCATGTTTTTAAAAGGTGGTTGTACTGGAGATCATTAGTTCAATCTTAATTTTATTTTTGTTTTCAATACACCCTTACAAAATGGACAAATTATCATTAAAGCAATAACAGACACAATAGGTTTACTGGGAACCAGAGGATATGTTGTTGAAAGAGACTAACGAAGATTCCTTGCTGAACAAAAATAACCAGAAAGAGGAGGAGAAATTGTTGCACCATTAGGATGGTGAAAAGCTGCTGAGAAGTTTTGGGTTTCTTCTACTTTCCATATCATAGTTCATAATATGTTCATAATATGTTCATAGTAGCCAGGTGTCTAAGTCGGAAGAGTCTTTTCTATCATGTATTTTTTTTCATAGCACAGACTTGTCACAACAATCCCTCTTTCTAGTGCTCGTGAGCTGCTGCAACCTTGAGCAATTCATTTAGGGTCATATTTTCAGAAGTGCCCAGCATCCACTAGCTCTTAATTGACAGCAATTAAGGGTGGGGTATAGGAAAGAATATAATGTAGTATGTAGACAATTAACACAATGTAATTGTTTTCATTTAGAAATTTCCAAGCACTACAGTCAGAAAGCTGCCTTAGAACACGAGCTTCCAACAGCCACACAGAAACTTATAACAACAAATGACTGCATCTTGTCCTCGGTAGTGGCTTTAACAAATGGAGCAGGCAAGGTAATTTGTTTCCTAGCCAAAATCTAATGGTGTCAGCCTAGATTTAGAGTTTAAAATCTCTCACTTTTCTGAAAGATTTAACTCATGTATAAAGATCTCAGGATACCACAAAGTATGTAAAGATTAAGGCTGTCGATTAATCGCAGTTAAAAAAATTAATCGCAGTTTTAATCGCACTGTTAAAACAATAGACTATAGAAATTTATTAAATATTTTGGATGTTTTTCTGCATTTTCATAGATATTGTATTCTGTACTGTAATTGAAATCAAAGTCTATATTTTTGATTACAAATATTTTCACTGCAAAACGACAAAAGAAATGGTATTTTTCAATTCACCTCATACAAGTACTGTAGTGCACTTTCACAACAAAGATTGCAACTTACAAGTGAAGATTTTTGTTGTTGTTACATAACTGCACTCAAAAATAAAAGAATGTAAAACTTCAGAGCCTACTTCCACTCAGTCCTACTTCTTGTTCAGCCAATCACTAAGACAAGCAACTTTGTTTACATTTACAAGAGATAATGCTGCCCTCTTCTTATTTACAGTGTCACCAGAAAGTGAGAACAGGCATTTGCTTAGCACTTTTCTATCTGGCATTGCAAGGTATTTACGTGCCAGATATGCTAAACATTTGTATGCCCCTTCATGTTCTGGCCACCATTCCAGAGGACATGCTTCAATGCTTTAAAAAAAAAAAAAAAAAAAAAGACATTAATTGAATTGGTGGCTGAACTCCTTGGGGCAGAATTGTATGTCCCCTGCTCTGTTTTACCCGCATTCTGCCATATATTTCATGTTATAGCAGTCTTGGATGATGATCCAATACGTGTTGTTCATTTTAAGAACACTTTCACTACAAATTTGACAAAACGCAAAGAAGGTACCAATGTGAGATTTCGAAAGATAGCTACAGCACTTGACTTAAAGTTTAAGAATCTGAAATGCCTTCCAAAATCTGAGAGGGACGAGGTGTGGAGCATGCTTTCAGAAGTCTTAAAAGAGCAACACTCCGATGCAGAAACTACAGAACCTGAACCACCAAAAAAGCAAATCAACCTTCTGCTGGTGGCATCTGACTCAAATAATGAAAATGAACACGTCGGTCCACATTACTTTTGTCAAGGCTGCTTCCCAACTCTGAACTTCAGGGTACAAATGTGGGGGCCTGCATGAAAACTTCTAAGCTTAACTACCAGCTTAGATCTGGTCTGCTGCCACCACTCCCAAATGTGCTAATTCCCTTCCCTAGGTAGCCTTGAGAGACTCTTCACCAATTCCCTGGTGAATACAGATCCAAACCCCTTGGATCTTAAAACAAGGAGAAATTAACCATCCTCCCTCCTACCTCCCACCAACTCCTGGTGGATCAAGATCCAACCCCCTTGGATCTAAAAACAAGGAAAAATCATTCAGGTTCTTAAAAAGAAGGCTTTTAATTAAAGAAAAAGGTAAAAATCATCTCTGTAAAATCAGGATGGAAACTAACTTTACAGGGTAATCAAACTTAAAGAGCCCAGAGGAATCCCCTCTAGCCTTAGGTTCAAAGTTACAGCAAACAGAGATAAACAGTCTAGCAAAAAGGTACATTTACAAGTTGAGAAAACAAAGATGAAAAACTGACACGCCTTGCCTGGCTGTTTGTTTACAAGTTGGAAATAGGAGAGACTTGTTCAGAAAGATTTGGAGAGCCTGGATTGATGTCTGGTCCCTCTCAGTCCCAAGAGCGAACAACCCCCAAAACAAAGAGCACAAACAAAAGCCTTCCCCCCCCCAACCAAGATTTGAAAGTATCTTGTCCCCTTATTGGTCCTTTGGGTCAGATGTCAGCCAGGTTACCTGAGCTTCTTAACCCTTTACAGGTAAAAGGATTTTGGAGTCTCTGGCCAGGAGGGATTTTATAGTACTGTACACAGGAGGGCTTTTTATAGTACTGTACACAGGAGGGCTGTTTATAGTTATGACAACTTTGGATTGTTATCAAGTAGAATCCATCATCAGCATGTCCTGTGGACTGGTGGTTGAAGATGAAGAGACACATGAATATGTAGTGCATCTGGCACATAAATATCTTGCGACGCCGGCTACAACAGTGCAATGAGAACGCCTGTTCTCACTTTCAGATGACATTGTAAACAAGAAGCGGGCAACATTATCTCCGGCAAATGTAAACAAACTTGTTTGTCTGAGCAGTTGGCTGAACAATAAGTAGGACTGAGTGAACTTGCAGGCTCTAAAATTTTACATTGTTTTATTTTTGAATGCAGTTTTTTGTACATAATTCTACATTTGTAAGTTCAACTTTCATGATAGAGATTGCATTACAGTACTTGTATTAGGTGAATTGAAAAATACTATTTCTTTTTGTTTTTTAAGGTGCTTGTAATCAAAAATAAATATAAAGTGAGTGCTGTACACTTTGTATTCTGTGTTGTAATTTGAAATCAATATATTTGAAAATGTAGAAAACATCCAAAAATATTTAAATAAATCGTATTCTATTTAATGGTGCGATTAATCGCGATTAATTTTTTTAATTGCTTGACAGCCCTAGTAAAGATCTGTTATATTCTAAGATTTCCAGATCCATTTTTAAAAAGCTATTTGCAAATTAGTTTGCTACTGTTGTGATACATCGCAGTACTGCGAAAGATACATGCTTAATAGGGGAGCAGGCATGATTGCGAATGATCTTTGTTTAGTTCATGCCTGTGCAATATGTGAGTTTTGTAAAGCCCCTAATAAATTTGTATTTGCAATTTTGCTATGAACTTCAGTTCCATGACTATTCTTTCTCTTTTGTTATTTCTGACACTTTTTTCTATTTAAAGTAAAAATCTTTCTTGACCTGTCTAGATTGCCTCATTCTTTAGCAACAACTTAGACCACTTCACGGCTTCATTGAGCTGTGGGCCTAAGGGAGGGACAGAGTTCATCAGCCCTCTATCAGCTGAATGTATGCTCCAGTACAAGAAGAAAGCAGTTGCCTACATGAAATCTTTAAAGAAGGTGTGTGTTCAGCTAACATTTACATTCAAGTAGAGAAGGCAAAGGATTGTATCTAATTCAGTTACCTTAGACAATAGAATCCTCTTAATCAGGATGCCATATTGAATGGACTTTCCTCCCCCATGAAACAAGAATTATTGGTTATCAGAACCATTTTAATAGTACAGTAGAACCTCAGAGTTGTAAACTCCAGTGTTACGGACTGACCAACCACACACCTCATTTGGAACCGGAAGTACACAATCGAGCAGCATCAGAGACCAAAAATAATAAAAAAGCAAATACAGTATACTACTGTGTTAAACGTAAACTGCTAAAAAAATAAAATAAAGGGAAAGTATTTTTCTTCTGCATAGTAGAGTGTCAAAGCTGTATTAAGTCAATATTCGGTTGTAAACTTTTGAAAGAACCACCATAGTGTTTTGTTCAGTTATGAACATTTCAGAGTTACGAACAACCTCCATTCCCAAGGTGTTCGTAACTCTGAGGTTCTACTGTAAGGCTGTTGTCTGAGGGGTGGAGGTGTCAGAGCACCCTGGGTTGAGAGCAAGCTCTGATCTTACTGTTTGCCCAGTTTCGCCAGTAGGATCAGCTGCAAGGCTGCTAGAAAGGTAGCCCACCTGTATATGTAGTTTGTTCTTTCCATATGAATAGCCAGGAACATACATGTGGAATGTTAAATTTACTGTATTTCTTTGAAGGGACTGGCAACGGTTAGTGAGGCAAATTGACAAAAACAGCATAAAGTGGAAACACAAAATTTGTATATAAGGATGAAAAAGTACTTTGCAAATAATGAACCCTGCTAAACTGAAAGATTCAAGCACCACTAAATCTCCCCAAAAAGCTTACATTGATTCCTTGGGGGATGTCCCAGTTAAGCAGACTTCAAACATGTCCTAAGTGGCATGTATACTGTACTAATCATTTTGCCTTGCTTGGAGACCCAACTGGCTTGTATTACTAGATAGGGAAACGAAATGAAAGAAATTTTAAACATGCAAAGCAGAACTCTTCACATTGCTTTAGTAAGGACAGTGGGGAGGAGGAGATCAAGAAAAGAACATGGAAAATATATAATTTGATTTACTGTGAAAGCCTTTGCTGTTTCTTTGGTTATAGCCCTATTCAGATTCAGTGCCTTATGAAGAGGCTTTGGCCAATCGCAGAGTTCTTCTGAGTTCCACAGAAAGTAGAGAAGGTCTTGCACAACAGGTATTCTTGTATATATTTTGACAAATATGTGTTAACACTTTTTTCTAATAAAAACAGTTTGCTATGTCTAAAGGTCACATGTATTAATTTGAGTTAGTCTGTTACAAAATTGAAATTACAGATGTATTTATATCTGTAAACTCTGACATTATACTTGCTTTATAGATCAGCTTGCAACTAATTATAGAAATTGTAATGTCTGTTAGTCTGTTCTTATTAGGGAGAACTTGTCTTGAGCCTTCTTCATTTGAATGTCTAGTTCACATTTCTGTATTAGGAAGAGAGTCATAATCTTTTAGTAAAAAGAATTCTGGAATTATAGATGTAGGATGGAGAAGGGAATTTGATTTGGTTTGAGCCTAGCACAAACTACAAAGATGGAAATTTCTGTCCAGTCACAAAACTGATGTTTGCGTGCACTTTTGAGAAGGAAGAACTGATATAACAAGCTAATTATCACCCATCTGAAGTTACATTTTTAATTAGAATGTTACCATTGCACCACCAAAAACTGAAACCCGTTTGACAAAGCAAATAAAGGGCTGTACAATACTTTGATTCAGGATGAGTATCTTATTCCTCATAAAGATATGTTGCACTGTTACACAAGAAATTATCAGAGCAGAGGGGTTGTTACTTTATAAAACAAATGGCCCTCCTCAATTTGAGACTTCAGATTAGATTGTAGATTTCCCATTTGTTCAGTTTACAGTGAACAGTAGCTTTCTGTATTACGGCCAAACAAAAGTATCCAGAAACAGTGGAGTTTTGCTTTACCATAACATAATACTTTAGAATAGGTCACCTCAACAGCAGCATTTACTTAATTTGGCAAGAAATGCAAAATATATGCAGTTTAGTCTAGTATCCATTATTTAGCATTTCCTGTTCGATTTGGTCATTTCTTGCTCTGTTTTTTTAAAGAAATGATCTCTTGGACTTTGTACTATGTCTCATAACTTTACTTTCCAGTCAACTGTGTCCTCCTTCAGTTCACAAATGTGTGTTTAGATCTTATTCTCAGATATATGGTATGTTTGATCTGGCATTACCATTCTTATTGTATTCCTGCACTCAGGAGGTAAGATTATGTAGAAGTATATTTATCTGAAGGGATTTTTAATTTAAAATGTATCTATTTGATTACTTGGAATTTAAAATATGCATTCTATTAATCTTAAATGGTCACTGGCAGAAAAAAATGAATTACGAAGTGTCATAGAGGGTCTGTAAGCTTTGGAGTTGCTCTCTGGAAGCTCTGGGGCAAGAGGAAGCTAAACAAAGTTTAATTTGTTCTCTTGAGAATCCTGAGTATATGAGTATATGTCAAACTTTAGGGATTAGGTAGTAGCTAGTTTGGATAGACTGGGGCCAAGCTAAAGCAGAGGCTAACCGCTCTAGATCAGCGGTTCTCAAACTGTGGGTTGGGACCCCAAAGTGGGTCGCAACCCAATTTTAATGGGGTCGCCACGGCTGGTGTTACACTTGCTGGGGCCGGGGCTGAAGCCTAAGACTGAGCCCCACTGCCAGGGCTCAGGCTTTGGTTTCAGCCCTGGGGGGCAGGGCTCAGGTTACAGTCCCCCTTCCCCAAGGCTGAACCCCATGGGGTTCAGCTTTGGCCCCTCCCTACCCCCCACCTGGTTCGGCGGGGCTCCGGCTTCGGTCCCCCTCCTGGGGTCTTGTAGTAATTTTTGTTGTCCGAAGCGGGTCGCAGTGCAGTGAAGTTTGAGAACACTTGTTCTGGATATTAACTACCTGATCAGTGCAAAGAAATCAGTGGGTTGTTAATGAGCTTTTAATAAATGGAAAATATCTTGTTTAGAGTGTACTAAGGAAGAGGAGTTTTAATGAAATGTATGTGGAATTTTCCAAGATTAAATATTTTTCTATGGCTCTTGAGGAATTGCAGCCCATAAATTTAATTTGTATTGTGTTTATTCCTTTATTTTTGCAACATGTTTGTTATCAGCTCGCAAATCTTAAAGCTGTGAAGTGGCTGGCTGGAGCCAGGCATACTGCTGTTCAAATTTCCACACACAGTTCTTCTAATCCTGACCTACAACTACTCTGATATTCTAGCCCTGTATCCCCCTTAATGGAAGATTGCCAATTGTGCTGACTGTTGTGATGTGCAGATAAGCAGTAGGGACCAATTGAAACCATTAAACACATTCTACTTGTGACCTAAGCATATTAAACCTAGAACTTTGGGCCTTTAGGCATTAACCTGTTGTACCATCTAATCTCATTCACTTACTTAGACCATATGTCTTCGGGTAATTCTTAATTTAATTCCCAACACTTCACATTCTTTCTACAATTCAAACACAGTTAACTTTTCCTTCTTAAGGTCCAGCAAAGTTTGGAGAAGATTGCAAAACTGGAGCAGGAAAAGGAACATTGGATGCTTGAGGCCCAGCTAGCCAAAATTAAGTTAGAGAAAGAAAACCAGAAGCTAAAGAGCTCACTTAGTGGACAGTTGATTGAGCCTATGCCAGAAAATTCTGTTCTGCTGAATGCAGCCGAAGGAGAGAGAGAAGAAGCCATAAAAAAGACTTCAAGGGAGCCTGTTAAAAGAATGAGTCTGGTAAGTGATTTTTTCCTCAGATCCTTTTATTTCTCAGTGTGCTGGAGGAAAGATCTTTTACACTTGGAAACAGCAACTTTTCGGTAATATTGTTTTATCAATGGAACAATATCATTTGAGGTTTTAATTATGACATCATCCACATTAAATTTAAAGCAGTTTTGAGTCTAAATCAAGTTGACAGCTGATGTCTCCTGCAGAATGCAGGCCTTAGTGATTGTTTTTTGTATTTTTGGTTTTTTTAGAGACACCTGTCTTGTTCTGCAACTTCATTAATATTACTTATAGGTCCACAAAAGTCACATTGGTAGGAGATGTAAAGAACTGACTTTAAAAATGAGAATCAAAAGTATACAGAGAGCTGGTATCCTGCAAGAAGTAACTTACTTAGAGTTGGCCTAAAATATTTACATTTCTCTTATAGACAATATTTTTAGACTACTTAAGCATCGTTGGAAGATGCAAATGCTGCTTACCTGTAATGTATCAAATTCATGATCTGCTAATAAATTGTAACTAGGATAGCTTCCTTGAACTGATAGTGTATATTTGTTATAAAAAATAATGTGGACCTGTGATTACTTATAAGTTATAGCTTATAACAGAATTAACCTTCTTTGCCTTTGTCGTGTCCTGTTGTTCGGTGTTGGTGACTCATGTTCTTTGTCTCCAAGCATTCTTGTCAAGTGTGTCTTCCAAGCTGAAACTAAGCTTCCTCAGGTTAAAAGAATGAGGAGTACTTGTAGCACCTTTGAGACTAACAAATTTATTTGGGCATAAGCTTTCGTGGGCTAAAACCCACTTCATCGGATGTATGCAGTGGAAAATACAGTAGGAAGATATATAATCTCTCTCTCACTCACACACACACACACACACACACACACACACACACACACTGTGAAAAAATGGGTGTTGCCATACCAACTATAACGAGACTAATCAATTAAGGTGGGCTATTATCAGAAGGAGGAAAACAAACTTTTGTAGTGATAATCAGGATGGCCCATTTCCAAAAGTTGACAAGAAGGTGTGGTAACAGTAGGGGGGAAAATAAACATGGGGAAATAATTTTACTTTGTGTAATGACCCATCCACTCCAGTCTTTATTCAAGCCTAATTTAATGGTGTCCAGTTTGCAAATTAATTCCAATTCAACAGTTTCTCGTTGGAGTCTGTTTTTGAAGTGTTTTTTGTTGGAGTATTGAGACGTTTAGGTCTGTAATTGAGTGTCCAGGGAGATTGAAGTGTTCTCCGACTGGTTTTGAATGTTATAATTCTTGACATCTGATTTGTGTCCATTTATTCTTTTGCATAGAGACTGTCCTGCCATGTACATTGGCCAAACCGAGGGGCATTGCTGGCACATGATGGCATATATCACATTGGTAGATGTGTAGGTGAATGAGTCTCTGATTGTGTGGCTGATGTGATTAGGTCTTATGATGTTGTCCCTTGAATAGGTATGTGGACAGAGTTGGCAACGGGTTTTGTTGCAAGGATAGGTTCCTTAGTTAGTGTTTTGTTGTGTGGTTGCTAATTTTCCCCCCCCCCTACTGTTACTGTTTTTTTCTCCTGATAATAGCCTACCTTAATTGATTAGTCTCGTTATAGTTGGTATGGCAACACCCATTTTTTCATGTTCTCTGTATGTGTGTGTGTATCTATCTATCTATCTTCCTACTGTATTTTCCACTACATGCATCCGATGAAGTGGATTTTAACCCACGAAAGCTTATGCCCAAATAAATTTGTTGGTCTCTAAGGTGCCACAGGTACTCCTCGTATTTTTTGCTGATACAGACTAACACGGCTACCACTCTGAAACCTTCCTCATGTTGTTGTTCAGTGTCTTAAGCCACCTTTTTCTAAGTCTCTTCCTTGTGGTCTTTGTCCCATGACTACTAGCTCTTGTACTCTCTGGCAAACATCTCACATGATGCAGCTATCTCAGTCAATACTCCCTCACCTTTTCCACAATGGAGGCTATCTGAATCACTGCTTGTACCATTTTATTGCGTACCCTATCAGCTCTTGTCTTACTCTTCGTCCATCTGAGTATTCTCATTTTGGCAGTGTAAAGTAGTTTTTCTCTTCTTCATTGGCCAGCATTCTGACCTTGACTTCAGGGCTGGCCTAATCATAATCTTATACACTTTGGTCTTTAATTTACTTACACAATTCCTACTGCAGAGAATTCCTGTCAACTTGGTCCATTTATACCGAGCACTCTTCGTGTGGCTTCCAACATCTCCATCCACATTCCCATCATGGCCCAACACTGAACTGCGGTATTTAAATTGTTGCACAGACTTTAACTCTACACCATCGAGTTTTACTGGCTTCTCGTTGTCCCTCTCAAGGAAGCATTGCACGAGTTCCATTTTGTATTGGCTGATTTGTAAGACATTTTCTTTTAATGTGACCTTCAATAGTTCTAGGTCTCTTTTCAGTTAATATTTATCTTCAGATCGTGACATAATGTCATCAGCGAAAAGTACACTGCATGGAGCCTCTCCCCTAACCTCCTGCGTTAAGGTATCCATTACAATCACACATAGGATAGGTCTACACTTACCTCCAGGTCCGGCGGTAAGCAATCGATCTTCCGGGATCTATTTATCGCGTCTTGTCTAGACGCGATAAAT